AAAATGGAAAACTCCATAAATGGGCATAGTGACTGACTAGACATATATGGAAAAAAAAGTCAGTGATTTAGAAGATAGAACTCAAGATATTATCTTGAATACAACAAAGATAAAAGGTGGACTGGAAGGTGGTGTGGTGGCTCAGGTGCTAGACTCCCACATGGCCAATGGCAGTTCAAGTCCTGAGCCTGGAGGCTTGCTTTCTCACTTCCCCTCTCTGTCTCTTAATATCTCTCTCTGCACAAATTAAAAAATGATAATAATAAATAAAATGAAATAATTCTTAAAAAATTACAGATGGAAGAGTCAGACAAAAAAGACTAATTAAAGAAAATGTAGATGAAATGAACATAGTCCTAGAAAGTACACGCTATTAAGAAAAAATAGGAGTCCTACAATTATTAAAGAAGTTTGAATCAATAGTTAAAAGTCTTCTTGTAATGAAAACTCCAGGTCCAGAAAGTTCTATCAGTGGGTTCTTCCAAGTATCCAAAAATACAAAATAACTCCAATCTTTTAAAATTTTATTTATTATTATTTTCCAGTTTGATCAGAGAGATACAGAGAAAGAGAGAGAGGGAAAACGAGAAAGCAAGCCACCAATTTCGAGACTTGAACTGTTGTCAGCCGTGTGGGAGTCCAGCACCTTTAACCACCACACCCCTTGCTGGCCTCATAATTCCAATCATAAGTATTGCAAAGAATCGAAAAGAGAGAAGAGTTTCTACCTGCCTATGATGTTAGTGTAATCATGATACCAAAACCTGAATACAGTGTAAGATAGAACCTTCTCACCCATGAACCATGGGTGCAAAAATCTTGAGCAAAGCATTAACAAGTGGCATCCAGGGATGCCTAGAAATGATAATGCATTTTGACTGAGGTGGGTTAATTCCAGGAATTCAAGGTTGGTTTAACAGAAGGATGTATTTTTTATAGCACTAGCATAAGAAGGACCTGATTAGCCAGAAAAACTTCTTTTTGTCCTGCTGGGTTTCTTTTTTTTTTTTTAGCTGTCATATGTACATATAACTGTACCTTCAGCAAATTTCTTGAACCAAATCACCTCAGAAAACCATGTACTGTGGATGGCAAAGCAGAAAGATAGGAGTCGGAATCCCTGATGGCACGAAGGAGCCACCATAGCAGTCTTTGACTACTGACCTTCTGACTTCCTTGTGAAAGACCAACAGTATATTGTTGAAGCAACAGTCATGCTCTTAAAAATTAAATTAACAGAATCAAATCCTAATTGATTCTGACACCTGAAGCAGATTAGTGGTGGTGAGGCGTCTCAGGAAAGGCTTCACAGAACACATGATATTTGAGTTAAGACCGGAAGAATAAGTGGGTCCTTACCAGACAGAAAAAAAGGAGGAGGAAGGCCTTCTAGATGTACTACTAGCAGTGTGGAAAGGTGAAAGTAAACATGTCTTGTTCAGAAATAAGATGAGAGTAGCACATGTATTTCTTGACTCTTCTGTTGGGGACTTAGGCTAGGGCAGGAGTGTGGCTGCATGGAACTGGAGGAGAAGAGGGTCACTTTGCAGCTCCATTACATGCAAACCAGCAACCCTGGGGGAAGGCAGTGACCTTTCGTGGGAGCTGTGTGAGTAAACAGATATTAGCCAGGCAGGACGCAGCTCAATGAGGGGCAGTAAGTCCTTGACTTTCAAGAAGGTGATTTCTGCTCAAGCCTTTGCTGTCATTGCTGAGAAGGTGCTTCAAACAAAAGTGGCCACAGTGATTCTTGTCCCTGATGGCTCTACACAGGCCATGCTATTTCAGCCCCTGCGTCAGCTGGGAAGTTCCCCAACAATAAAGTTCCTGAGAAAAAGAAGAGTCTGTGGAAGAATGAAGGAAAGTGCTTTTCATTTATATCTGGTATATCTGGGGATTCAGTTGCCTAATATTTATTCTCAAGAAGGAGGAACATTTATAGAAATCAAACCCTATGGCATACAAGAGTACAATGTCATATACATTCCAATTTTCTTGAGACAGTCATAGCGTGATATTAATAGCATCCCATTTTACTCTCAGAAGTATATTGCTCTGGTTAAATTTTATGATCGCCCTACTCACTTGCGTAATGACTTTATAAAGGTATTGTTACACCATTGTAACTGAATCACTACCACTGTCCATTCTCTGCAAAGATATTTGGGGATCAAAGAGAAACATTTGGGAGACCAGCAGATGGCATAATGGTTACATTGCTAGACTTCCACATGGCCAATCTCGGTTCAAGGCCCATACCTAGCAGTTTGATACTCATGCCAGGCACGTGTGTGTGTGTGTGTGTGTGTGTGTGTGTGTGTGTGCCCAAAATCCCAGAGGAGACTGGAGGAGAAGGGATTGTAGTGTGGCCATCCCCCCTGGGGGTTGATTTCTTGCTTTCTGTCTCTCTGCCTCTCTCTGTCTCCTCAGTGAACACACATGCCCTATAGCAAAAAATCTTTAAAAAAAAGAAAGAAAGAAAAAGAAACATTTGGAGGATGTATGGCATGATCCCCATGTTTCAGACAGAGACACTCGGGAGGAAGGAAAATACTTCTATACATAAAATCTGCATTATTTTGCCAAGAATGGAGTCAGAGTTGTAACAACAGGTGAAATACAGGGTTCTCAGATGAGCCCAGGCTGCATGATCTTTGGAAGAAAAGTGAAACCTGCCCCAGGAAGCTGTGATTGCCCTTGGTAAGTCAAGGGAGAGCTAGCCGAAGGCCTCTCTGGTGGAGAAAAACTGAAATGTGATGATATTAACCCCTCCCCTCCTTCTTCCCTTCCACCCAGACACTCAGAGGAAGGGAGCCAGAGTTCATCCACCATAACCAGCGGGAACCTAGGAGCTGGAGACATCTCCTGTAACCTTGCACCAGCGTTGCTAAAGTCTCGAATTTCCTGACGTGGACTAGATAGTATTACAATGCCATTTTTTCAGATGTGGTATTGAACTGAGATGAACTGACTTGTTCAAATTGCAGTTTATAAATGGCAGGACTGGAGCTCGAGTTTAGGATGTTTCTTAATTAAGAAATATGAATAAGATGGTTCAAGAGACTCCAATTTCCCTGAAGAAAACCTATGACCCAAGAAATAGCCAGAAGGACTGGAATGTTCAGCCTGAAGATAAAGGACGTGATCTCTGTCGTTGACTCCCTGATGGGCCCCTCATGGGAAAGAAGTTCCACCTGTGAAGTCTGGGCCCATAGAGCCAAGCGAGAACTAAGGAAGAGAAGATAAAAGGAAGCAGACTCCGGCTTGACATGAAGGAAGGAGCCTCACCTCTCCTGAGTGTCTGTATGGCAGGTAATGCATGTGTATATTCTTATTTAATTCTCACACAGAGGGGAAAAAGAATCCTTGTGAAGTAGGCATTATCCTTATTTAAAAAAAAAAAAAGTAGGGGATTTCCAATTTAGGATGACGGCGGAGTAGCTTGTGTTGTACTAAGTCTCCTACTTTAGGCTTTACGCTGAAATCTCAGAAGGGCCACATGCTAGGATTAAACACTACATTCCAAGATTAAGATATTCACCCAAAGATTAAGGGAAAAATCAAAACAGGCTTGCCTTAACAAAGCTTACAATTAAGTCCTTAAGAGTAGATCCAGTGATAACGTATCTGGTTACTAGAGTAAAACTCAATACTCTTCAGAAAAAGATAACAAAATGCAAAGTTTTCTATGCATACTAAGCTTTTCTAAATTGCTAGATGTATGAAGAGACAGAAAAACGTAACCCAGTAAAGAGAAAAATGAGTTAAAAAAAAAAAAGGTGACAAACCAGTTACTGAAACTAGCAAAGGGAATTGCTATGGTCTGAATGTTTGGGTCTCTCTAATGTTCATGTGTTGAAATTATCAATGCGATGGTGTTATGAGGTGGGGCCTTTGGGAGGGATTAGGCCATGAGAGCAGAGACCTCTTACAGAAGAGGCCCAGAGAGCTAACTAGTCCTTCCCTTAGGGGAAGACACAGCAGGAAGCCACTGTTACAGTAGCCTCAATGGACTAAGACAAGAGACTTTAAGATAACTACAATAAATATAAAAACAAATCTATAGGCAAAAAATGTATTTGATGTGTGAAAAGAAGGAATTTGAGAAAGAAAAATACTGTTAGGAAAAAAAAAGAGAAAATTTTCGAATTGAAAAATGTAATAATGAAATGTAAAAACATTCATAGTTGACTGGTTAGAGAAGACAAGGCTGACCCTATAGCACAGTGGTTAAGCACTGCACAGAGGAAACTAGATCCCATACGGCCAACCAGGGTTCAAGTCTTGGCCCCGTTAGCTTGAAAAACAGGTCAGGTTCATGAGTGCTTGCCCAGGATCCTGATGGGATAGAGCTTGGAGGAAAAAAGAGTGTAGCATGACCCGGCCCCATGGGGCACAGTTCTTTCTCTCTCTCTCTTGTTCTCTCTTTCACACACACACACACACACACATATCCTCTGGCATAACAGGATCAGTGAACTAAAAAACAAATCAATTGAAATTATCCAAACGGAAGCCCTGAGGAGGAGAAAGATTGAAAAACAATTAATGGAACAAATGAGCCACTGGAGTTCCAGAAAGAGAGGACCTAGAAAATAGGGCAGAAAAATATATGAAGAAATACTGGTCAAATCTATTTGCAAATATATTGCAAATTTTATCAAAGAAAGGAAGAAGGAAGCCCACAAATCTAGAAAGTTCAGCACACCTCAAACAAGATAAATACAAAGAAAATCACATGTAGGCACATCAAAGTTAAGCTCCTGAAAAACACAAGTACACAGGTAATATGAAAAGCAGCCGGAGAGAGCTGGTTTCTCATCAGAAACAATTAAGGCCAGAAGACAACATCATTAAAATGTTAAAAGCAAAAGGGGGGAAATATCCTGTCAAACTAAAATTCTGTACCAAGTGAAAATACCTTACAAAAATGAAGATAAAATTAAAGATCTTTTCAGATACATGAAAGGCAAGATGATGTGTTATCAGGTGACCCAACTACACTTCAGCAGTGCATCTACTAAAACTGGAACATTCTAGAGAAGATTAGCATGGCCCCCTGCGCAAGGTTGACATGCAAACTTGTGAAGCGACCCATATTATTAGGCCAGGGGAGAGTGGGGTGATAAATTCAGAGTACTGAAAGAAAAGAGGCTGGCCCTGGGGCCTAGTGGTTAAGGCAATGAACCCACATGACTGACCGTCGTATGGTTCGAATCCTGACCCCTGTGACTTGAAAATCATGCCAGGTGTGTGTGCATACATGCCCAGAACACTGACAGAATATAGTAATGGAGGAGAAGGGACTGTGGTGTGACTACACCCTATGGGGAGTGATTTCTCCCCTTCTCTCTCTCTCTCTCTCTCTCTCTGTCTTTGACTAGTGCACATGCCCTCTGGCAAAATAAGAAAGAAAGAAGAAAGAAAAAAAGGCACTGAAAGAAATAACTGCCCAACCAAGATACAAGGCTGTTCTTCAAAGATGAAAGGGAGATAATGGCTTTCCCAGATGAACAAAAGTTGAGGAAGTTCATCATCGCTACACCTGCCGTTTAAGAAATGCTGAAGGGAACCAGCAGTTAGCGTAATGGCTATGTCACTGGACTCCTACGTAGTCGACCGTGGTTCGTGTCCCGGACCTGGTGGCTTAAAACTCACGCCGGGCGCGTGCGCATGCGTGCCCAAGATCCTGAGAGGAGAATGGAGGAGAAGGGATTGCGGCGTGGTCATCCCCCCTGGGGGGTGATTTCTTGCTTTCTGTCTCTATGTCTCTGTCTGTCTGTCTGGTGAGCGCACGCGCCCTATAGCAAAAACCTCCCTCCCCCCAAAAAAAGAAATGCTGAAGGGAGTTTTTTCAAGCTCAAAGAAAAGAAGCTAATTAATAACACAAAAATATAAAACTCACTGGTAAAAGTAAGTACATAGTCAAATTCAAAATAATACTGTGATGGTGGTATATAAATCACATATACAGTGAGACTTGAAAAGTTTGGGAGGGCCAGCAGGTAGTGTGGAGGTTAAGGCAGCTGGATCCCATGTGGCTGACTGAGTGGTTTGAGTCCCGGACCAGACACATGTACATGCATGCCCAGAACCCTGAGAGAAGAATGGAGGAGTAGAAATGATTTCTCAGTCCTTCCTGCTCCTGTCTCTCTCCAGTGAGTGCACATATCCTATAACAAAATGAAAATAAATATATAAGTAAAAAGTTTAGGGACAAAGGGAATTAAAGTACACGTTTATTTTTAGTGCAAAATTTTTTTGAAATCTATGCATAGCATTTTCCACAAACTTTTGAGGATCCATTGTATCTTTAGTGTGAAGGCTAAAAGACAAAAATATTAAAATATTAATAATTATTGCAATATGGGGCTAGCAGGTGGTGTGGGGGTTAAGACACTGGACTCCTACACAGCCTACTATGGTTCAAGTCCTAGACCTGGTGGCTTGCTTTCTCATTTTCCCTCTCTCTCTCTGTTTCTCTCTGTTCAAATTTAAAAAAATAATAATAAATAAAATTAAACAAATAGTTCTTTAAAAAATAGTAATTGCTACAATAATGCGCTAAGGGACACACTGTGCAAAGATATAAATTGTGATACAAAAAGCAGAAAACATGGCAGCTGGGAAGCAAAAATTCAGTTTGTGTGTGCGTGTGAGTGTGATTGAAGTTGAATTATCAGCTTGAAATAGCCTATGAAAACTATAAAATGTTTCGTCCAGCTGCAGTGGTATGCGTCATTAGAGCACTGTGGTCCTCAGGCTAAAACATGAAGACTATAAAGTGTTTCGTCCAGCTGTAGTGGCATGTGTCATTAGAGCACTGTGGTCCTCAGGCTAAAACCACATGAGAGATCTAGGTTTGATTCCCAATCCAATCCAAAGCCACGTATGGTGGGATACACCCATAATTCCCATGACCTGGGGAGGCTGAAGCAGAAGGATCACAAGTTCAAGGCTGTCCTAGGCAACAAAACGAACCCCATCTAAAATATAAACAAAAAAAGATGAGCATGGTGACACAAGCCTGTAGTCCCAGCTGGGAGGCTAAGGCAGGAGACACTGTAACAAGACCCTCTCTGACAAAAAACCCAAAGCTGTAAGATGTTTTATGTATCCCTCATGGTAACCACAAAGCCACACACACACACACAATGTAAAGAATCAAAGCATTGGGGCCAGCAGGTGGCATAGTGGTTAAGGCACTGGACTCCCACGTGGCTAACTGTGGTTCAAGTCCTGGATCCTGCAGCTTGAAACTTATAGCTGGTGCATGTGCATGCATACCCTGAATCCTGAGAGGAGAATGGAGGAGAAGGAGCTGCAGCATGACCATCCTCCTGGGGGCTAATTCCTCACTTCCTCTCTGGTGAACACACATGCCCTATAGCAAAAATCTCTGCCTCAAACAAGCAAAGAAAAAACAAGAATCAACACATTTCACTGTAGAAAATCATCTAATCACAGAAAAAGATAGCAAAAGAGGAAGAAAGGATCTACAAAACAACCTGAAATAATAAAACAAAATGGCAGCAGTAAGTCCTTACCTATCCATAACTATCTTGATTGTGATTACGTTTTTCAATCAAATGACATAGAGTGACAGGATGGATAAAATACAAGATTCACCTATACGCTACCTAGAAGGGACTCGATTCACCTTGATGGGCACACATAGAATGAAAATGCAGGAATGGAAAAAGACATTCCATGCAAATGTCATCCAAAAGAGAGCGTAAGTAGGTATATTTTATTAGATAGGTTTTTGTTTATTTGTTTTTAGTTTAGCTTTTTTTTTTTTTTCCCCTATACGGTACATGTGCTCACAGGGAGAGACAGAGAGGGAAAGTGGGAAATCATCCCCCAAAGGGGATGGCTATGCCATAGTCCCTTCTCCTCTATTCTCTTTTCAGGATTTTGGACACCCACACCCACATGCCCAGTGCGATTTTTAAGTTGCTGGGTCCAGGACTTGAACCATAGTGGGCCACATGGGAATTCAGTGCCTTAAGCACCACACCACCTGCTGGCCACTATATTAGATAGATTTTTTTTTTTTTTAGCCAACAACTGTAAAAAGAAATAAAGACAGTTATTATACAAAAATTATATATATATATATGTATATAAACCCAATGTTGAACACTTAAATATCTGAAACAAATATTAATAGTGGGGGGGGGGGAATGGCTTCAAAAATTCATGGAAAATGTGTACTGTGAAAAACTATGCAGAAATTTCAAAAATTTCTGCAAATAAGTGTACTTTAATTCCATGTTTCCACAAACTTTTCAAGTCCTCTCAAAGATCCGAAGAGAGAAATAGACTGTAATAAAATAATAATAGGAGATTTAATACCCCACTTTCAACATTGGACAGATTATCTGGACAGAAAATCAATAAGGAAACATTGGACTTTAACTACACTGTAGGCCAAATGGATCTAACAGACGTACACAGAACAATCCATCCAACAGCTACAGAGTACGCACTGTTATCAAGTGCGCACAAAATTTTCTCCAGGATAGATGATATCTGAAAGAATGTCACAAAACAATTCTCAAAAAATGTAAGACGATTGAAATCATATCAAGTATCTTTTCAGACCACAGTGATATGAAACTAGAAATCAATGATAGGAGGAATTTTGGAAAATTCATAACTCTTTAGAAATTAAACTATATAATTCTGGGGAACCAGCAGTTGGCGTAATGGCTATGTCACTGGACTCCCACGTAGTCGACCACGGTTCACGTCCCGGACCCGGTGGCTTAAAACTCATGCCGGGCGTGTGTGCGTGTGTGCCCAGGATCCCGAGAGGAGAATGGAGGAGAAGGGATTGCGGCGTGATCATCCCCCCTGGGGGGGTGATTTCTTGCTCTCTGTCTCTCTGTCTCTCTCTGTCTGGTGAACGCACGCGCCCTATAGCGAAAAACCTCTCAAAAAAAAAAAAAAAGGAAATTAAACTATATAATTCTGAACAAAAGGGAAATTAAAAAATATCTTGAGACAAATGAAAATGGAAAATGGAAGCACAACATACCAAATCTTATGGGATGCAGCAAAACTGTTCACAGGGAAGTTTATAACAGTATTTTTTTTTTTAAAAGAAGAAAGATCTCAAGTAAACAACTGAATTTTACACCTCAAGGAATTATAAAAAAGGAGCTATAACTAAGTCCAAACTTAGTAGAAGAAAGGAAATAATAGTTTAGAAAATAAATGAATAAATAAAGATTAGAAAACAACAAAAAGATGAATGAAACTTAGAGTTAAATTTCTTTAAATAAAAGAAACTTTAGCTACATTAAGAAAAAAAAACGGGGGAGGACCAGCAGTTAGTATAATGGCTATGTCGCTGGACCCCCATGTAGTTGATTATGATTTAAGTCCTGCACTTGGTGGCTTAAACTCACACCAGGCACATGTGCATGTGTGCCCAAGATCCCAAGAGGAGAATGGAGGAGAAGGAATTGCGACGTGTCCATCACCCCTGCGGTGGTGGGGGTGATTTCTCACTTTCTTTCTGTCTTTCTGGCGAGCACATGCACCCTATAGCAAAAACCTCTCAAAGAAAAAAAAAGGAAAAAGGAGAGAAGATTTAATAAATAAAATAAGAAATGAAAGAGGAGATATTAATATGATACCCTCAAAATACAGAGGATTATAAGACTGCTATGAACAATTATATGTCAATAAACTGTATAACTCAGAATAAATGGGTAAATCCCTAGAAACACTCACCCTACTAAGACTAAATCATGAAGAAATAGAACATTTGAACAATCTGACAAAGAGTAAGGAGATTGAAGCAGTAATAAAATGTCTTCCATCAAAGAAAAGCCCAAGATCTGATGGCTTCACTATCAAAATCTACCAAATGTTAACAGAACTAATCAATCCTTTTCAAACTTTTCCAAAAGACTGAAAAGTAGGAAACATTTTCAAATTAATTTTGTGAGGCCAGCATTACCCTGTTATCAAAGTTGGATAAAGATATTACCAGAAAAGAAAATTACAAGCCAATTTCCCTGGTGAACATACATAAGAAAATTCTCAACAAATAGTAAATCTAATTCAACAGGACATTAAAAGGATCATTTA